CGGCGCTCCCTCCCTCCGGACTCGGCGCGCGAATCCCTCAAATCGACCAAACCCGCCGCCCAGACCGCCCAGAGGACGCGGCCGGAAGTCCCGCCCTCACGTCGTGTGCAGCATTGAAACGCCCCGTTTCCTGGGCTTTCATTGGCTCCATCCACCGTTGTTGAGCGCATTGCCTTCTGGGTAATGTAGTTTCTCCAGCCGAAGTGGGGCGTTACTATTGTCTTTAGCAACGCGGCAGCTGAGGACCCGCTGTGGTTCAGCGGTTGTTTCTCGAGCCAAGAGCCCCGAGGTCAGGGGTTCGGTTCTCATTCAGCGATTATGTCTGTGTTGTGGTCTCATTGCCTCATTCGAGACTTTCTTTTTTTTTGATCCTCGATGTTTCTCTCTATCCCTCCCTACCTCTCCATCTAAAAAAAAAATCAATAAAATATAATTGGCAAAAGTAATAATTAAGGTGTGGCCTAGACCCTGGCTGAGTAGGTCCATATGTTTGTTACCGGGTCTTCTCCTCGAGCCAAGGCTGGGGGTTCGGTCCCCGGTCTTGGCTGCAAAGACACCTTTGGGCTTTGGGGAGGTTGGCAGCCTTGGGGGTGGAGTTGTACAACTGACAATCCTCTGGACAGTTCCTTAATGTTAGCTTTTTTTTTTTTTTTTTCAATTTTTAAATTCATTTTTATTGATTTCAGAGAGGAAGGGAGACAGAGAGAGAAACATCAATGATGAGAAAGAATCATAGATTGGCTGCCTCCTGCACGCCCCCCCTCTCCCGAGCTGGGGATCAAACCTGCAAGCCAGGTATGTGCCCTGACCTGGAATTGAACCTCGATTTCCTGCTTCAGGGGTCAACGCACAACCACTGAGCCACCCTGGCCAGGCAGTGTTAGCTTTTTCTAAAATGATTCACCGGGGGCTCTTATGGGCTGAATTGTATACAGTTGATTCATACACAGGAATTGTAACCCCCATTAACGCAGAATGTGACTGTATTTGAAAACCAGGTCTATAA